GAACAGCTAATTAATAATAATATATGTCCTCTTAGTTAAATTTACTATTCATCGGGTCAAAAAATGATCCAGAGTGGTAGTACTAAAGTTGAATCAGAGATTGAACAAATTTTGAGTGAAAACTCTCAATAGTGGGCAACTTCTTGAAGTAGCCACTTTTGATGACGGATCCGATTAGTGATCACATTAGAGAGGTTATACTGTAGTTTATAAATTGAATAGCTTTATACTTTTTGTTGTTTGAATAGAAAAAGATAATTTTATATGAAGAATGATATTCACCATCTTTCGTGATTGTTGGTGTCTGTAACAGTGAAGCAGATTGTTTGTACCATATACAATATGTCGAAATAACTGAGAATGATTTTTAAGCAAAAACCATTTTCATGCGCAGTCATTATTATCTAGTATATGAAAAAGGAGAATTATAACAACATCATATCATTCGATTAATGGATTTACATTCTGAAGATATAATTTTGATTAATTCTCTCATTTCATTGTATTGAAGAATAAACTAAAACATAAAAAAAAACGTAATTTCTATTCATCATATCGTTTTGTATTTTTCGTGGGTAAAGATAAGAAAAACTACCTATCTTCGATACGATAAAATATTCATGTTATGTCGAATCGATCGAATGTTAGAATTGGCGAGAAAAAAAAGTCAATCAGGCGTGAAACATCGATAGAAATGAGTTAATGACCTGTACTACTCTTCTATCTCTTATATGTGATATAAAATAAGTACGTAAAAATCAAATTATTTTCTTTTGAATCGATCAATATTATGAATCATATTTTCTCACAATAATATGGTGACAACCTTTAGAAAGTTTATTGAATATTAAATGTAACAACACAGGTATATTTTTCTATTACGATGAAAATACGCCGTAGGCGTCACAAACTCAAATTAACGTATACATTTCTGCATCGTTTCTCGAAAATTCAAACTTTTTAATATTATTTCGACTTGGAAATATATTTTGCAAAAAAAGCAGCATTTGATTACGCATCAAATCGAATTATTACCGTAACTCATAAGCACATTGACGCATGATGTAAACAATTGAAGCCTCAATTGCAAAGAGTCATATATATATAGTTTCCACTATATGTCAATTTTCGTAATAATATCGAATGTTATTGTTTCTCCATCCAAAGTCGTTTTTTATCGTATACGAAAGCATCCGATTAGTTGATTGTATAATATATTTTGATCGGTAAGATATTTTCATATTAACTGACAGTATAAATTCAAAATCACTTCTATCAGATTTGTCTCAAAACGTCAGTTTTATTAGGTTGAGGGAAAGTTCGTGCGCCGTGTTATAAGAGAGAGGGTGGGGTCGCCCTCATAACACGGCGCACGAACTTTTCCTCAGCCAAGTTTTATAAAATAGTACAGCTAGCCAATTTTCAATTGGTTTTATTTAGAAAATGTCTTCAAAATCAAAAATTTATTTAATTCGACGTGAATCATTCAGTAGTGCACACCGTCTTCATTCAAATCATTTATCCGATGAAGAAAATCTTCGAATTTATAGTAAATGTAATAATCTGTATGGACATGGCCATAATTATGTTCTTGAAGTTACTGTTGTTGGAAATATTGATGGAAAAACAGGAATGGTTATGAATATTAGTGATCTGAAATATCTTCTCGCAGAATATGTGCTTAACATACTTGATCATAAAAATATTGATTTAGACGTTGAATATTTTCGTCGAAATCATGTTATAAGCACAACTGAAAATGTCGCTATTTTTATTTGGAATCAAATCAATGATGTTATTAATCAACAATATAAAAATGTTCGTTTATATGAGATTAAATTATACGAAACAGACAAAAATATTGTTGTTTATCGTGGCGAAGAAGATTCCTAAAAACTTAACTTTTTACTCGTCTTTACAATATTTTTTGTCTAATTTATTAAAATAATATAGTTTACAAAATATTCATGAATTCTTCGAAAAAAAAGAATTCTAAAATACATATAGTTATGCGAAGAAAGAGTTTCTCGAGGTTGATTGGATATGCGTTATCGTTTTGCGTGATATTTTACACTAATATTAGCAAATTCTATGTCACTGGATAGAGAATTGTATTCCTTACAGTTCTATAGATTCCTGAAAAGCTTCGAGTCTTTTTTGTATTTTATTCTACCCAGGTCATTGTGACTCGGTCGGTTCCAGCCGGTTAAATTCGTTTTACGACCGAATCTGGCGGCAAGGGATTTGCGAATGCAGGCATGAATGTCCTCGAACAAAGTATCCCGGACAGTTGGTCCTTGGCAAAATGTCCTGCGGTATTAATGTCCTTGAGAAATAGTCCTTTGTGTAAAAATGTCATTTATGATGGTCATTGGTCGGCAGAAATAAGGCATTCGAATGTATAGGACGTTGTAATACAACATCAGTCGATAATATGTTCGTTCGTTGCTAAGAAGAATTAACCTCTTTTAAAATGGATAAAGGCAGAACGAGAGAAAACAAAAGAAATAGTATAGAACGGCGCTCACGTCTGACTATTATATATTTCGAATCGAAATAAGAAACGCAATGGATGTCGACGACGCGCCATTATCATCCTCGTCTTCTTTGTGTTCGATCAAAATTTCATCACCAGCGTGTTCAAAGTCGATTAAACCTGTTGTCCCAAAAACGAAGTCCAATAAAAGGTAACCAATGCTGAGCATCAGCGGTTACTGCTACCAGCTGAAAAATCTCAATTCAGAAAANAGGTAACCAATGCTGAGCATCAGCGGTTACTGCTACCAGCTGAAAAATCTCAATTCCAAAAAAAACAATAAATTGTTGGCGTTGTGCGAATCGAACTTGCAGTGTACCTATGCATACAACTCTTGATGATGAGTTCATCCATTATTCAGGAAAGACAACTGAACACTCATTTATCAAATCCGGCTGAATCTGACATACGAAATTTGAGAGAGAAAATGCGGGTGAGAGCTGAAATTGAACATTTACCACTCCAGGAAATCGCTCAAGATGAGGTGCGTAAAGCTTTGCTAGTAGGTGAAACCCTTGCTGTCCTACCCAACGTAACTAATATCGGTGCGTCTGTAAGACGATTTCCATCAGTTCATACAGGAATTTTTCTTGCATTGTATGTACTTCATCTAGGCCACAATTTGGTTCGCAATCGGCGCAAAACAACGCCCGAATTTACACTGTCATGTTCGTTTGACATTTCTGATATATACGCGCGCGATTATAGGGATCAAGAACGCTTATTACTGCATGACACTAATGATCCAAAATATGTAATCGACAATTCGGAGCATGTGCGACCGACTGGGCGAATCTTAGTTTGATCGTCAGATATTCAGTTGAACTTACTCTTTGAAAGCGAGCGATTACATATGGATGGAACGTTCAGTACATCACCACTCATGTTCGAACAAGTGTTTATCATGCAGCCATTCATGCATGGGGCATGTAAATTGCTTCACATAGTAAAACTTTGGGATCAGCAAGTTCTCTTCGTTTTGGTGTCGATTCACTGATTTTAGGCGTCCCCGTTGTTTATGCGCAGCTGCCTAATCGTCAAGCGATCACATACATTCACTTATTCGAGGTGTTATCTACTGAAGCAAAGCGGCTGAAGAAAAGCTTTGAGTCTACACTGATTATGACTGATCTCGAGTCCGGTCTGGCAAAGGCGATTGCTCTCGAGATATGTTCTAGATTCGCAATATTGCGACCAACCGGCGAAGTCTTTACGTCTTGTTTTAGTTTACTGGCAAAACGGCTCAAAAAGGATGTTTTTTTCATTTTACACAGTGTCTATCGAAAAGTTCAATCGCTTAGTTTGTCAACGCTTTATTTGGAGGATCTTCGCATACGTGGTGTTATTCGACGAATGATGAGTCTTGCGCTGATACCTCGCCTATTTGTCGGAGCCTTATTCGTCGATCTCGAGCAAGACTTGAATGCTGATGAGCGTGCCGAATTGGCCAATTTATTCAAATATTTCAATGATTACTGGATGCACACCAAGCTTCACAGTGGAATGTCTACGAAGTCTCTGACAAGACCAATAATTATAATGAAGGTATTTCAACATCGACCTTCCTAAGAGTTTATGCATGAAACGTGATCTGTATAGTTAGGCTACAACAACCGGTTTAAACGACGATTACACAAAAGTCATCCTAACGTGTGGGCATTCATCGATTCGATTCAAAATGAAATAGATACAATCCATAGTTTGGTCGTTCAAATAGCAAGTGGAATGCAACCGCAGACAAAGAGATCGAAATCCAGAATTGTACAACAGCGAGTCAAAGAATTGTATGACCGATTCGACAATGGGAAGATTTCAATTCATGATCTGTTACACCGACTTTCCTTTTTCGTCGCACATGAGCAATAAAATAAAAATCAATCCGATATAATAAGCTTAACTCGTTGATAAATACTCCAAGCATTTTATAAAGTACTCTATTTAAAGAACACTTTTATACTGGGGACATTTTTACGAGGACCAAGTCTTGAAGGACTAAATCTAATTCGCAGGACATTTACCTATCAGGATATTTTTTCGAAGGACAAAACGTCATAAGAACATTCAAAAGGACATTTTTCACTGTTACCGAATTTGCCGAATCCGATCGAAACCTGCTGAATTCGGCTGGAATCGACTGGAATTATACCAAAACCCACTCAGATTTAAACGGACCCAATCACCGGAATGATTGACCTGGATAGTTAAATGATTTTATTAGTTTGACCTGATAGAAACCGAAACGAAATATTTTCGTTCGATATGCAATCTTAGATAAAAAAAATCTAGTAGATAAAAATATATGAATATCAAGAGAAAAGGAGAAGAAAAGAATAGTGTCGAGTTAATGGTATATAAGCAATGTAAATTAACGACAGAAATATATTCATATCTAAGGCAAGTCTTCTTATATTTTCATATTATATGATTTCTACATATATAGGGGAATATGATTTTGCGGCTAAATCATTTTTGAGTTAAGCAATTCATTTGTGACAAAATGAAAAAACACATATAAACATTGATATTTTCGTGGGTTCGACATGACCAAAAATAAAAACGGTATGATTGTTATAGCGGTGTTAGTGCTGTACCGCTAATACAAATTCTACTGCTAATATTCCTTATACCGCGAACACCACTGACACTTCGATATCCCTCTACTGTTAATAAGTTCTATCAACTTTTACTAGTAATCATCGTATATGCAAAATTCACAGAGATACTGGTGGAACATGTTCCGCTGATAATTAGATTGACGTTTATAGAATTTAAATGTTAGATTGTTTAGTAGCCGCATCTATTTTGCTAAGAAATATTAAGCGTTGACTGAATTTGTCGCAAAGTCATATTCTCCATTACCTCGATTTCTATCAACAATATTTTTAGTTCGTTTATTTATTTGCGATTATTCAATATAACAAATAAAATGTTTTCATCTACCAATAATGATATAACACAACATTCAGTTAATGGAAATTATTTATTACCATCAACATTACCAGAACTAACTGACGAAGAAGATTCATCGAAACCACGTAAGACTTATCTATTTTTTTCATGAAAATAGCAGTCTTTTAAATTTAGCTCGTCGAATGAGTATTCTTCAATCAGACAAAGCTTTACGTGACCATGATAGTAAACAAATCTATACTCAACGTGTCGAAGCAATTTCTCATTGTTATGAAGAAATTTTGAATAGTCTTGGGGAAGATATTCATCGACAAGGTAAAGATTTTCAATGATTTTTGATAAAATAAAAATATTTTCTTTGGAAAAGGTTTATTAAAAACGCCAAAACGAGCAGCAGAAGCAATTCTCTTCTTTACTAAAGGATATGAACAAGCAGTTTCAGATGTT